GGTGGCGGGCGCCATGTCGCGCTGCCCGTCGTGCGGCGCCGCGGCGCTCGTGGAGGACGCGCACTACGCGCAGGCGCAGCTCGTGTGCGCCGCGTGCGGCTGCGTGGCGGCCGAGGGGCTGCTCACCACCACCTTCGGCGACGAGGAGCACCTGCGAGGTGCGGCCCAGCGCCCGCAGCGCCCACGGAGCCCCCCGCAGCACCCACAGCGCCCGCTGTTGTCTCTTCCAGAGGTGGCCTTCTCGCGGAGCACGGGGCAGCGGGAGCAGCGGAGCCGCAGCGTGCAGCGAGGTGAGCGTTGCCGCTGCGCGTGCCGCCGGCTGCCACGGCGCAGCCGCGAGCCGCCGTCCCGCCGCAGGCGTCAAGCGGGTGCAGGACCTGTGCCGGGTGCTGCGGCTGCCGCGCGCGCTCGAGGAGACGGCCGTGTCGCACGCGGAGCGCGCCCTGCCGCGCGCCGCCTTCCGCCGCCTCGGCCTGCCCAAGAAGGAGCTGCTGGGCGGCTGCTGCGTGCTGGCGAGCTGCCGCCAGCACGGCTGGCCCCTCACCATGGGCACGCTCTGCTCGCTGCTCTACGCCGACGCCGAGCTGCTCGCCGGCGTCTACCGCGGCCTGCGCGCCGAGCTGCGGCTCTGCGTGCCCGCGCTCGGCCTCGCGGAGCTCGTCAAGACGCATCTCAACAGGTAGCTCGAGGGGCTTGGGCGGGAAGGTTGGGATAGGTGGGCTCTAGAGGTCCCTGCCAACCTTGAGCGTTGTGTAGCGCGGGGGCTGCGCGACGGCAGCGCCTCCGGAGCGGAGGGGACCTGTCGCCTGAGCCCCCTTCGGGACAGGGTTTTGGGGGCTTTGGCTCGACCCTGCTCGAGCCAGCAGGGCCCTCGTGGCCAAGGAGGCCGATGAGCTCCCGGCTGCGTCAGGAGGATGGTGCCAGCAGGGCAGGGAGGGATCCTGATCCTGCCCCTCTGCTCTGGGGAGGACAAACCGGGAGCACTGGGGGCAGCTCTGGGCTCCCCCGGACACGGGGATGCTTCTAGAGAGGGGCCAGAGCAGAGCAGCCAAGATGATTAATAAGAGACTGGAGCATCTCTCGTATGAGGAGAGACTGAGGGAGCCGGGCCTGTTTTCTCTGGAGAAGAGAAGGCTGAGAGGGGATCCGATCAACATGTGTAAGTACCTGAGGGGGAATGGAGGGAGGAAGGGGCTGAGCTCTGCTCAGTGGTGGCCAGGGACAGGACAAGGGGCAATGGGTATAAGTTGAAACCCAGGCAATTCCACCTCCATATGAGGAAGAACTTGTGCAGTGTGAGGGTGCCCGAGCCCTGGCCCAGGCTGCCCAGGGAGGCTGGGGAGGCTCCTGCTCTGGAGACCCCCCCAAACCTGCCTGGACCAGGTGCCCCATGCTCTGGGTGTCCCTCCTGGAGCAGGAGGTTGGACTGGGTGATCCCTGGAGGTCCCTTCCAACCTTAACCATCCTGTGATGCTGTGACCCTGTCCGTGGGCACCCTGGTGCCGCCGACCGTCCCCCGTCCGTCGCAGTTTCAGGCTGTTCCAGCAGGCAGCTGACATCCCGGCGCCCTTCGTGGAGGACAAGGAGCAGACGGTGACGCGGACGCTGCAGGTGGTGGAGCTGGCGGGCGACACGTGGCTCGTGACGGGCCGGCACCCCGTGCCCATCGTCACCGCCGCCGCCTTCCTGGCGTGGCAGTCGCTGCGCCCGGCCGCGCGCCTCGCCTGCACCCTGGCGCGGTTCTGCCGGGCGGCCGGCGTCGAGGTGCCGCCGCCGGCGCCCCTGCGCCTCAAGGAGCTGCACGACGTCCTGCTGCGCATGGCCGCCCAGCTCGCCTGGCTGCGCGTGCTGCGCCTGGACAAGAAAACGGTTGTCAAGCACCTGGGGGACATCCTGCAGCACCGCGTCTTCCTGCTGCGGAAGGCCTTCCGCACGGAGGATGAGGAGGAGGAGGAGGAAGATGAAGAGGAGAAGGAGGAGGCTCCACTGGATGCGGTGGCCCCAGTGGACACGAAGGCTCCGCTGGACACAGCGGCCCCGTTGGACACGGCAGCTTCAGTCGACACGGCGGCCCCACTGGACGGGTCAGTTAGACTGGACACAGCGGCTCCAAGGGACACGGCAGCTCCAAGGGACACGGCAGCCCCGCGGGACACGGCGGCCCCGCGGGACACGGCGGCCCCACGGGACACGGCAGCTCCAGTCGCTGCAGGGGCCTCGCTGGACGCGGCGGCCCCGCCGGGTGCAGCAGGGCGCGAGCAGCACCAGGTGAGTGGGCTGGCGCGCACCGAGGCGCCGGGGCGCCTGCTGCCGCCCTGCCT